TCAAGGCAAGGCCAACGCTGCTGCTCCTACAGAAATGTGTGTGTGTGTGTGTGGGGGGGGGGGGGGGGTCCGTTGTTTTGTTTTTGTCCTCTCCTTGTTCCCTTCTCTCTGCCTCCCACCTCCTCCTACACAGTTCTGTGATTTATAGTGGCCATCCATCTTCAGGCTGCGTCCATCACCTCCTCGTTGCTAGGCGATCATGGCAGCAGCTGTGTGTTCTGGGAGGGATTTGGTCATCTCCGACCCGACTTTATTCCCTTCACACTGTTACCTTACTCCTAAGTTTCTTCTTTAAAAATGGCGGCATTTTAAGGTCCAAAAAACTGCAGAATAAATATAACAACAACAAAAAAAAGAACGAGGCCCCCTAAAGTCCTCACATTATTCTTAACTCTAACTCCAGCATGACCCCTTTAGGCCGTACTGCCTGAGCCTCTTTCTCACTCTGGCTGCATATAGACAAAGGGGACTTTAGTTGGTGACAGGAATCTATTTTTTATTCTAACCTTTTTAAATTAATTTTTTGTTTTGTTTTTTTAATGATTTTCTTATTACACTTTTTTAATTATTAAAATTTTCAATCAACATTTCAACATTTTTAATAGTCCAAGAAAGCCTTTGTATCATAGCGAAGACACAATATTAGAGGGTTCTCAGTCAGGTTAAATTCTGGCTTTTATTTTATTTTCTAATTATTTTTTTTAATGTTTTGGGGGGTTTTTTTTGGTAGGTTAGGATGACTTAAACAGAGGGTTAAAGGTCTTATTTCAGCCCAGCAATAATCCAAGTCAGATTCCTGTGTATCTTGTTCTGACACTGCCTGATATATGTTTGATATTTTAACAACTTCCTGTGTAAAGCAGAGAAAGCAGGCCAGGGCAGATCAGACATGTTTTAGACAGGCCCAGTTTAAACCAAAAAGACTCTGTTGGTGGTGGAAAAAAAAGAGAGATAAAATCTCATTTATTGCATAAAGCCTCACCAAGAGTATCACCAAGAGTTCAGGTAAACTCATCTGCATTTCCAAACTGTTTGGATTACTGGCTTAAGATCTAAATGCTATTTACCACTTTAGCCTCTCCTTCTGCTTCACTCTGTTTTAAGTTGTAAAGAAGAGAGATGGAATGAGGGAGGCAGAGTCATGGGATTGTTGAAAGAAGTTTGACTCGCAACGTAATGACGGAAAAGATTGGCTTGATGTGCATTTTTGACTGGAACATTGCCTTCCCTCTCAGGCCATATTACCGGCCTTGGTTCTGCACCTGTGGAAGACGCTTTTATAGACTTTTTTTTGTTTTGTTTAATTCTATTATCATGTATTGTGGCTGCTTCATACTCGGAGACCTCATGAGTTTCTTTGGCCACCGTCTTCTCCCCTGCGTTGCAGTATGTGACACGAGGCCTTCATGCGATTGCGGCTTGTCTAATGTCACAGAAAGCAGATAAACTTTGGGGTCATCCGGGTCTGAATGTGCAGCTGGCAGCTTTAAGGTTCAGTCATAACACAACAACCAGCTGAGGGTTGAATCCGCTCGCTGTTTTTTTTTTTTTGCTCCCTCTCCTCTCACTGTGCGCACTGACAAGGTTCAGCCCTGAGCCTCGCCTGGGGCCAAAATGATCTCTCTGTTTTTCCCATCTCCCATATCACACATCCTGCACTACAATTGGCGGACACAATGTATTCACAATGCCATCAGGGGGTAGAGAACGCACACAAATAAGACGAGACAAAGACATCCACGACCGCCTGGAACACGGCCGCCCCTATAAGCCCATTGTGGAGGCAGAGTTATGAATTAAAAAAAAAATTTTAAAGAAAGGAAAATTGAGCCCCGCAATCTTGAAGGTTCATATCTGCAAAAGCGACTTATGTCAGACCTTGTTAATTTTTAAGGTGGCCACAGATCACCTGTTACTGTTCTCGTGGGACTTTCAGCAAGCTTGTAAGGATCAAAGGGAAAAGTGGGAGAGAACTAAGTTTGATTGAGTGTGTAACTTTGACATATGTGAACAAGAGAAAGGCATTTTAGGTATGTTACTGATCTGCTGCTATTTTGACAGAATGGGGCTCTTTTGGACTAAATTATTCTAATCTATTTAAAGCGTTTTAGACAGCTGGGAAACTTGAGAGCAAGTACAAGGCAGCCGTTTGTTGGGTTTTATTTTTTTTCCCCTTTCAAATTTGATTGAGACCGAGGTGACTTCCTGTCCTGTAGAGTTCTTGAGCTTTTTCCTGTCAGTAAGAGCCCCCCACCGAGGGGCCACGTTGGTATAAGGTCATCAAGGTCCAGTGAAAATACTGTACACATGTCAAGACAGACATGTCCTGCTGGGATGCAGTTAGCACTCTCCTCTCAGGGTCCAGCTTCCCCATCCAAAATTCTCCTAAATGTCCGGAAAGCCATGTTAAACATTAATTCCTCTTTTATGTTGGTTTAAAAAAAAAACTAAGATTAAAATAAATGATAGGCTCTTTGTAAGATAGCATCTTATTATTGTTCAGCGTGCTATGTGCCTTATCAGGGTTGTTTGATTGTGTCTTTTTCTTTACTGTGAGTGAGACGAGACCACCTATGTGGACCACTTCCTGTCCCTCCCTGGATTCTTGCTGCGTCTTTCTGCGCTACACAGCTGTCTGACAACAAAGTTACGCAAAACGCAATCACAAAGCAAATTTTCATTCGCGTGACTTGATCAGTCGTGCTTTTTTTATGTTTTAGCATTGAAGCCGATCTCGTAGCCCACTAATAGCATAATGATATGAATATTTAAGCATTTCTTTTCGACATAAATGTTGTTGTTGTACAACCAGCCCCCTATTTTACCGCAAAAGCACAGATGAAAACGTGCACCCACGATGACCGCACAAAGGGCAGGCTTTTTTTTTTTCTCTTTCTTTTTTTTAAAAATTACGACGCCTCTGGCAAGGTTGTGTTTTTGACCAAGCAGTCATTTGAGTATGAGGGTCAGATGCAGGTAGAGTTTTTAATGACACATCCTGTTTACCCTGCTTCTGTTGGGTGTGATCTGGCTCTCAGACTGTTTCCCCAGCTGTGGAGGCCAGATCTGGAACATTCCTCTAGGTCATTAGTTAGATTTTTTAAGGGACTGAATTTTGTTGTGACTTGTGTAGATCGGACTGTTTTTATTTAGATTTTTTTTTCACAAAATCTACATTTGATTTCTTTTTTTCTTTTTCTCTTTTTAAATGCAAGTACGTGCAGATGAGGCCGTCCTCTGTTTTGGTTTAGGGAGATCATTGCTGGAGCGAGAGGTGGAATTGCGGCGGCTGTTTGATCGTAGCGCTCAAGATGGAGGCCCGTTTGCGACGCGGCATCGAAAGAGTTTAAGACTTTTAGCAGCACTTGAGCAGAAATAAGCAGTACGAGGGGAGGGGGTGGGGGAGAGACAGACGCTGAAAGCCTCTGCTTTACAGGCAGCCACAGCACCTTCCTGCTTAATCACCCCTTGTCCCTGCCCTCTCTGTTGTTCCCAATTGTCAGAGCAGCACTGCAGTATTTCTATCTGATGATATCTCCCTCTTCGTCTGCGGCCCTTATGTTTATGAAAATGATACTCCACAGGAATGCCTCCTGCATGCCAAGATGTCACTGTCTTTCCTCATCGCTCGCATCTCCGCACGTCGTACATGTACGAATGTGTTTGTGTGCGAATGTCTGTTGGTAGTGGGGGTTGGCGGGTGTCAAACTGGATGACTTGCTTTGTTTATAATTATGAGGAAGTGTATTTGAGGTTGTGTTTTTTCTTTAACGTGAAATATGTGTTTCTCCACGTGAGACTTCCATTTTCTGCACTTTATGTGTTTGTGTGAATTTGTTGCTGCTATTTCTGTGAGCTGTGACTGAGAACTTGATTGTGTGAAAGTGCACCTCCTGCCATTCTTTCCCAGCCCCACCCCGAAGAAATCATTCACGGGACCTAATGATTCTTGTCTCTCTCCCCCCCCTCCCTCCCCACATGGAATCGGCTCGGTTTATCATTGCAAGAACATGCTCACGTTTCGTCTTTCTTTTTCCCCTCTCACACCCACACGCACGAAGAGGATTCCAGCTTTGGCCCTCCAACATATGCTTAGATATTGGTTGAAACCGTGTCCACGACTATTGTTGTATTCATAATATTCATAATTTATTCTAAGGGAGCCTCTATATTCCCATCACCTTTTATTAGCTTGATAAATCACCTCTGTTGTCAGTCAAGGCAGGGAGAATAATTGGATGTGGTTGTCGCCCCATGTGATGGATTATCAGTCATTGGGGATTGAATTAACAGATAGTGCTCAGACATAATGGTTTTTGTTTTGCATTTTAAATTGCCTGAAAGAATGGTTTGACTCTAAAGGTTTTTATTGCTGGTCCGTTTGGACCTTTCCCCCCCCTCTTTTGCTCTATCTGGGCTCCAAAGCAAATTAACAATAACCCAAAGGGAGTCTTAGAGTATGAAAAGTAAAACAAATGCGACCAGGTTTAAGCACAGAGACGGGCACAGGAAGGCTTCTGAGGACAGAATAGCTTTATGTTGAAAATGGCTGTAGTTTGAGGAAATGGAAAGCCAAGGTGAAAGAATGCGCTGGATATTTTCTTGTTGAAGAAGACAAGGAAAAGTGACCTGACAACTTGTTCAACGATGTGTGACGCCCTTGTGATGCAAGCTGACATCTCTGACCAGCTAGTAAGGACACAAATACGTTAGCCAACCTCGATCCGGCTGGATTCAGTCTTTTAAAGAGCAGCAGAAATATGGCAGAGTGAGTGGAAAACGGGCAGGGAGTCACTCGAGCACTGGTTGCAGCGAGATGCATCCTTGAGTGTTTGGCCGAATGCGAGCCATTTACCTCACCCCATTCTCCATTCTCCCACAACTCCCCTTCCTCCCCCAGCCCACGTCCACATTATCATAATTGTGTCCAGGACATGAGGGGCCGGGAAAGTGATCATGTCATTTTATTTACACCCTGCTTGGCCCTTTTTACAAACGACATGCCACTGACTGCCAAGCGGACTGGGGCCCGACGACATCTTTTGATCAGGGCTGTCGGGGTCTATCAGTGGAGAATGGCAGGTAATGGATACCCAGTGACAAACCAAATCTCCGGGAGGACGGAGAGTGGGCCGCACCTGCCAGGTCTCCATTAGGCTGGCCTCTCAGTGGGGCTGCCTGCTGACTGTGCCCCCAGGGCCCAAATCAGACCAGCGCCAGCCGCATGGCTACCTAGAGATTGGCTGTTAGCACTGGAAATGAGAGTTATTTCAGCTATGACATTTTTGTTTAGGCTGGATATGTTTGTGTGTGTGTTTGTTTGGAAGGGGGGAGGGGGGCAGTCAAAAACAGGCACACCATGTATTTGTGTGCCTGTTTGTAACCACGTGCACGAGCGTTACTGTGTGAGTCATCAAACCATTTCACCCCATGCCAACAGGTTCTTTTTGTGGCATTTGTCTAAAATTTTGCCTAAATGGCCACAAACCCATGCAAAGGCAGTCTGCATATTTAGAGATTATTTCTCAAGTTGAGTGGTTTTGTGAGCGAGGTGGTCAGGAAATAAAAGAGTGAGGCATTGGGAGAAAGTTTGTGTTAAACAGGTTGACTTGTCATTACGGGAGGAACGGGAATTGTGTTTCTTTTGCATTTTTAGGACATATATTGGACCCGGTGTATCAAATATCTTTTGGATATTAGGAAACCCTTGACCTCACTGCAGTCCAGAGTCTTCTCAACACGTATTTTCAATATATCAGAATTCCATGAACAAAATTTTGGAATCCCTTCTTTTCAAATTCTCCAAAATATGCTCTTTGCTGAAGTGTGTGTGTGTGTGTGTCAGTATGTATGTGTGTGTAATCAGAGAAGAGGCAGATGAAGAGGCGTCAGACATATTAACTGACAGATGGAGGTTGATCCAACTCATTTATTACCCCAGAGGAGAATGCCACAGTGAGATTGGGCTTCATTAATTTCAGATTTAGTTTTCATTTCAAGCTGTTGTGCCCTGAGATAAATAAAATGGTGCATTATGTTTTTGCCAAGATATTTCTTTTTTGTTTTCCTCCAATAGAAGCAGTGAAAAGAGGGGAGGCATAAGTTCCGTGTGGCTGGGGTAGTATATAAATACAGGCTCGCCTAGAGGAAAATAACACCTCAACGGTTGATGAGGTGAAATGGGATGACTGTAATTTCTCAGCTCAGCTTTAAAGGCTCCCACACAGATGGCTCATTTATCCCTGGGAGTCCTCGGGCACACATTGCAGGGAAACTTTTTCTCCAGTTATTCTAACATAGCATGTTCACTCCCTGCTATTAAACTCATCTCTTTTCTTCTCTCTTTGTCTCCATTCTCCTTGCAGCCTATTCTCCCGAGGAGCTGACGGAGCACACTGTGGAGGAAGCAGAAGCGGGAGAGCTAACCTCAGTCCCCCAGGATGACCTTCCCATGAAAGATGAGTTTGTGGAGCAAAGCGGAGGGATTGCCAAGGAGCAGACATGTGATCAAGATTCAGCCGAGGCCACAGAGCTCTCAGGACAAGAAATGGACAGCGAGTCGCATGTGAGTGAGGCTAGTGACCGACTCTCAGACTTTGAGAGCCCTCCCAGAAAGGCAGAGGCCAACATGGTGGCATCGCCTGTGAATGCTGACACCAAGACACCTCCCATAGGCATGGACACCTTAGAGCAAATGAAGGCGATCTACTCCAGCTTCCTGACCAGCCCTTTGTGGTCGCCTCTGAACCTAAATTCCACTCCGCTACAGACGCACTCTGCAGTTTCAACAGAGAAGCCGACTCGCAGCAACAGCACGAGCAGCAGCAGTAGCTGCAGCAGTGGCAGCTACGACTGGCACCAGACGGCAGTGGCCAAGACGCTACAGCAACATCCTCCCCAGAACCGCCACGCTGCCCAGTCCGAGCCCAGCCTCTTCAGCACAGTCCAGCTTCACAGACAAAACCCAAAGCTGTTCGGCTCCATCTTCACCGGAGCCAGCAAATTTCGTTGTAAGGGCTGCAGTGCCGCTTATGATACCCTGGTGGAGCTAACAGTTCACATGAATGATACGGGCCACTACCGTGATGACAACCAGGACAAGGCGGGCAGCAGCGCAAAGCGCTGGTCTAAGCCACGGAAGCGGTCCCTGTTGGAGATGGAGGGTAAGGAGGATGCCCAGAAGGTTTTAAAGTGTATGTATTGTGGCCACTCCTTTGAATCCCTTCAAGACCTCAGTGTGCACATGATCAAGACCAAACACTACCAAAAAGTGCCTCTGAAGGAGCCCATGGCCCCAGTTGCAGCCAAAATAATGTCCTCAAAGAAAAGGGGACTTGTGGGTTTGGACCTCACATCTGTGCCACGTTCAAGAGAAGGAACTCCCAAAACAAAGGCAGACCTGAGCGAGTCCTCACAGAAGCGTTCCTCCAGCCCTTACACCACCCCTAGTAACCGATACAGTCACCAGAATGGTGGCAGCTACAGTTGGCAGTTCGAGTCCAACAAATTGCAGATCCTTAAATGTATGGAGTGTGGCAGCTCCTACAATACACTCCAGGAGCTGAGGACCCACATGATGGTGACAGGACACTTCCTGAGGGTGACGAGCTCTGTGGGAAAGAGAATCAAAACGCTTCCCGAGGCCACCTCCCCCAATCCAGGGAGGGTCACCACACCTACTGAGCAGAGAGTCCAGTCTGTTCCACTTGCACCCTCCACCTTTTCTCCACCGCCTCTTCCGAGTACCACAACTCCTCCTGCCACCTCACCTCCTCTCAAGGAGATAAAGAAGGAAGAGATTGAGGAGGAGTGCACCAAGCAAGAGTCAGTTGGAAGTGAAAGGCAAGCCTCGGTTTTAGTTGGTAAAGAGGAGGATGGCGAGAAAGAGGAAAAATATGACATTTCAAAGTATAACTATCTGACAGAGGAGGATCTGAAGGAAAGCCCCAAAGGAGGGTTGGACATCCTCAAATCGCTGGAAAACACAGTGACGTCAGCTATCAACAAGGCACAGAGTGGGAACCCAAGCTGGGGAGGCTACCCAAGCATCCACGCAGCCTACCAGTTCCCAAGTGCCATCAAGCTTCAGCAGGGCAGCTTGGAAAAGAACTCGCAGATGAAGTTCCTGTTCAATGGAGGAGACGGATCCATGTCCTCCTATGCTAAGAACCAGCCGCTCATTTCTCCACCACTAACTCAGTCCTCCCCCTTTCCCACCAACAACTTTCAAGCGATGGAAGATTTGGTGAAAAAAGTGACAGAGAAAGTGGCAAAAGTTGAGCAAAGGGTTAAGCAGTTGTCTCCAAAGCGGGAGAACCAACATTCCCCCTGTAGTAGTGAGGCAGGAGAATCACACAAAGGAGGCGAGGCTGACTCACCTCGGGAATGGAGGGAAGTCACACCAGCCAACAGTGACAGGGGAAGCCACAGTGACAGGACATCCCCGGCAACAGAGCCCAAGAGAGACACCGCGGTCAGGTCCCCTGTTGCCTCGACTCTGAGATGCAGCAATGCCATTATCACTGGTCATACTCCTCCTGAGCAGCCCTTTGTCAACCCTCTAAGTGCTCTTCAGTCTGTAATGAACATTCATTTGGGGAAAGCAGCCAAACCCTCTTTACCAAATCAAGATCCCCTTAGCCTGCTTTCTAGGCTCAGCCAGAGCATGACTGAGAAGGCTGCCGTGGCCACTCTTCCATCACAGACCAAAAAGTCAGAAACTGTAGTTGACAACAGCTTTTCCCAGCCAAGTGACGACCAGCCTATGGATCTCACAAAAGGCAAAAATGATAAAGGAGGCTCTGTGGGATCGGCCCCCCAGACGCCCTCATCCACAGCTTCCTCCATTTCCCCCATCTCTCTTGTTACACCTGCAAAGCTGACCGTTGTCTCCCCTTACACATCCAGCAGCCCTCTCCATGAAAATGCATTGTCGGATATCTCAGACATGCTTAGAAACTTGACACAATCCCACCCCGTAGCAAAGCCTCCCCCGCGGTCCCGGGTTACCGAAAAAATCGAAGTCGTAGGCTCTAAACACGACGAGGATGACGCTTCTCTGCATGGCCACAAACGCAAAGGCCGTCACTCCAATTGGAACCCGCAGCACCTCCTTCTCCTGCAGGCCCAGTTTGCCTCTAGCCTGAGGCAGACATCGGATGGGAAATATATCATCAATGACCTCAGCCCACAGGAAAGAATGCACATATCTCGTTTCACCAGTCTCTCCATGACTACCATCAGCCACTGGCTGGCTAACGTCAAATATCAGCTGAGGAGAACAGGCCGAACCAAGTTCCTGAAGAACCTGGACTCCGGTCAGCCCATATTCTTCTGCAGTGACTGCGCCTCCCAGATTCGAACCCCAGCAGCTTATGTGTGCCACCTCGAGGCCCACCTGGGATTCAGAATCAGGGACCTGGCCAAGCTGTCCCCTAAGCAGACGGTCAGGGACACCAACGCTCTCACCGACAAAATGGCACCCCTCGAGTCCTTCCTCTCTCCCCAGTCCGAAGACGACTGCAGCAGCAACGGAGCAGTGTACCGCTGCCAGCTCTGCGTCCGAAAATTTGCCACTAAGCACGCCATCAAGCTTCACCTCAGCAAGAGCCATGGGAAGTCTCCGGAGGACCATCTGCTATACGTGTGCGAGCTGGAGAAGCATTAAATTACTCTTAGCAGTAGTTTTACTGGAAAACATTTTGAAGAATGACTGTTTGAAAAAAAAAAATTCAATCAAAACAGAGTATATGTTGATGTGTGGCGACACACAAAGATGCCATGAACTACTGTTGTGTCAGCACAAGGTGTTTACATCTGTTTGGCCTACGAGCATTTCTGATTTTCTCTGTATTTCAAAACACATTTATTTCACGTCGAAATTTACTGTAGGTCAAAGATGTTCGGCTTCCTCTGTCTGTGTTCATCTTTGGAAAATGTGAGACAGCAGGGGCGAATCTTTTGACAAGAAGGTCAGCATTAACTTGAAACGTATTAACTTTATTGTATTTATTTTGTATTTTGTGAGTTTTGATTTGCTGGTAGACTGCATGTTTTACTTTTACGTTTGTACAGTCTTGTCCTGTCAAGATTTTAAAATGCCCTTTCAAACTGGTCATTTTTAACACATCGAAGCTGTCAAATACCTGGGAAGGCTCCTTAAAAGAATCTTGAACTTCAGAAGTCCATTACTTGTTTTTACGGTTTTCTCTGTACAGCCAATTGATTTTCTTGTTGATTGTAAAATCTGCCTTATTCATTATCACTGAGTAAGGGGCACTTAAAATCCAGGTCTGTGTAAAAATGTACATATATATCGTGTAAGCTTACAATTTGCTGTTATTAAATTATGCATACTTGTTATATTTCCTAATTTAAGAGGACTATGACTATCCACTGGTGCAGAGCCTTTGAAGAAGATTAAAAGGACACTGTTTTGCACAATAGTTTTATAAATGTTATTTGATAAAAATACAGATATGTTAATGCCTTGTGCTTCTATGATTAAATTGAGATAACTGCTGCAAGTATCATTGCTTGTCTTTCATGTTTACCAATCATCGAATGTTGTAAATTGACCAGGCAATAGGCGCCTGGTTCACTAGGGAGAATCCATCCATTTTGTGGCACAAATCTGAATCCTCTCAACTATTGTAATGACTAAGCGCCTTACAGATCAGATGACAGTTGCCTCACTGGGTTACATCTGCAGATATAGCGAGAAGAAGTTGAAAAATCTCCCCACTTTCCTGTGCGGAACCCACAATTTGTCAAGTATTCCAGAGGTTTTCTGTGTCGTCGTCGTTGAGGGGCGTACTCGAGAGGTGCAAGCAGTGCCACTGCCTGCGAGGCGTCTGGCAGGTGGTGTGCGCTGCATGTAAACCACCAGATGTTTCCGAAACGAGCCACTGGAGGAGGAGGAGGCAGGCGGGCTACAACAGCAGGCAGAGTGGGCTGATTACCACGGGGGCTTGGATGCCATCAGGAGCCCTGGGCACAGACAGCAGATCTGGCACACACCTGGACTCCAAGACTGTCCCTTGGAAAAAATAAAGCAGATCCTGTATATGCGCTTTGAGACAAGATGACAGTGGTGCAGAATGCACAGACAGGTGCTATTCCCCCAAAGCCGGCTCTCGGATCTAACAACATTACTGGCAGGTGTTGATGCTATCAGAGTAGTCACAATTCAGGCTCGGTGCCATGTAATGAGAACATTTTTTAAAAATGTTTTTCAGTATGCATAAACGCACACAGTGGCGCACATGTATTTAGAATTGTGACCATCCACCTCGGTCTTATTTGAGGATGCCTGGGGACATCATGTTCTTTCTGTTTGATCTTCCCAGGCTTTGCTTGTCATGACTGACTGACTGAGTGACTTAGGGCTGGGGAAGTTATCTGGTTACTATGGTGACGGCCATTTGCCCAGCCTCTAACCCTGCTCGCTCACTCAACGGAGGACAGCTCGAGTGCAGCACACCCATTTACTCTCTTAAATCTCATCATCTCGCTTCAGTTCCTCCCACCCGGGAACAGATTAATTAACACACACACACTGTGTCCTGACCCCGTCTTCTCACACAAACTCATTACCGCCTCAGACTTGCTCCCGGCCCTCCAACGTTTAGGATACATTGGTGAAACGTTGTGGGAGAACCCAGTGATGACTCACATCTGACAAGCAGAATAAAGCCCTTAACAAAGGATGATAATTGAAAGATGGAATTCAGGCCGGTAGCCATTGATAATGCAAATGAATAAGACTGGGCAGCCTTATTGAATATCTGCTTTCCTGAGCTTACCAGGTCCATGCAAAAAGAGAATCATCTATGGGACATGCTAATTTTTTTTCAACACTACATGTGTTGATGATGCTTTAGGCTTAGTGATGGACTTAGGGTGAAGATTGTTGGGGGCGGTAATGAGATAGTTGACACTTTAGGGGTTAATGAGGAGCTGGAGGGAGAAGGCTAAATGATCGGACTTCTGCTTGAATGAGCATTGTAGTGGCTGCCGCAGAGCAATGTAGAGGCTGCAAATCTGCTGCAGCCAATTATTTGGTATGAAAAACATAAACCTCCTCTCAATTGTATTTTCCTGTGATAATAAAGAGGAGATTAGATGCGTTATCCATTGTTCTTTTGTCTTGACTATCCTTGAGGGTTGGATAGTTGTAAACGCCGATTCGCCTCAGTGCTCCTAAAACAAAGTCAGCAGTGAAGGGGGATGAAAGGAGGCGGACAGGACAAGGATAGGATAGGAGGACAATGAGTCCCCCCACTCCTCCACTCTACAGATCTCCCATCAGCTCTTGTCATCCCTCTAATGAATATCAGTTAAATTGCTCTGTGGATCTGAGGAGTTTGGATGTCAATGTGATTTGTGTGAGTGTGGCGGATGGAGGGGCCCAGACTAATGAAAGGCGAGCCTAGCCTGACAGAGTGATGAGCATCAAGCCCATCAGACCAATCACACTGGAGCGGATGACAGAGGCGACAGACAGACAGCTGAGGAGGAGAGACGATCTATTTAGGAAAATAAAATGGCTGCCAAAATAGTGGTGGATTTCTTTGGAGCACATTGACGTATATCACTACTGTCTCTTGCTTGTGTAAACACATACAGACCACCATGTTACACATAGGAATGCGTTTCTGAACCTTCAAAACTCCAGTTCACTGTTTAATACATCAACAGGTTAAGAGCATATGGCAAGTTAAAGGACATCAAAGAGGGCCAACATATCAAACCCTCCTTTTGGGGTTCCTCTCGCTTGACAGTGTAGCATTATCGCTGGGGCGGATGTGCAGGAGTAAGAGTGATTGTTTGCAGGTGGAAGGTCGGGGTTTGATCTCTGTCGTCCCCCAGAGCACAGTGTTTGTGGCCAAGACGTTGCTTCAAACACATTCATCACTCTGTGAGTGAGAAAAAGCTCTGCATAGCCCGTAACACTGTTTAGACTGGGAGATACTCCATGCGTATGAATAAAGTACGTTGTGGGAGTCATCAAGGCCAGACAGGCCTTAAATAAATACAGCTCATTTATATTTTAAAGAACCCCTGATGGCAAACCCCCCCCCCCCCCGACAAAAAATGCTTTGTTCCCCCCCAAACTCTTGCGTGCCAACATAGAAGACAATGTTAGGCGTGTTTTCCATTCAAGGAGTCTCTAAAAGTGACATGATGTTTTGTGACAGTGGTGCAGGAGTCATGGGTAGAGCCAAGTTGGGTTCACCTTGTACCTCTGACCCCTGAGTCTGATGTTCAGCAGGACAAACATGCATCTTCGACAGCCAGTATAAAGGTCACCGGCCTCTTGAAGAGGAGAACTTCTGTCTATACCTATACCAATATATATTATTCACGAAAAACTTTGAAAATGAAATGTTTTTAGGCACTTGCAAAGTTTATTGGAGGTAAAAAGGGACAAGACACAGAGAACAATAAGTGTAGGTGATTTGATTTCTCTGTAGTGGGTATATGTTTTTAAGCTGCTGTGTTGCAGTGTTATGCCGCTGTGCTAGATAGCTGTCAGAGGTATTTTGGTGTGATATCTGACAGATTTGCTAAAGACACTCGTCTCAGGGCACTACTCTATATATCGTTAGTTTAATGCACAATGACATGACCAATTATAGCAAGCTCCATGCTCAAATAGCATGTCAAAACCTGTGTATCAATCCATTAGATCCTGTCTCCCATCACATTAAGTGGTACCTTTAGCTATCTGTTCGGCACGTAAAGAAAAATGCTGACAGAATGGAAAATGTGCCAGTGCTGTTCACAGTACTGATGTCTTTTGGAAAAGGAGCCCACTCTCTCTCTCTCTCTTTCTCTCTCTCTCTCTCTCTCTCTGTGCTTCCTCGTCTTCTGTCCCTCTTTCGCTAACTTGCACATCCAAGCCACTGAGCACAAAAATGCATAAACAATATATCTAGATAATGGGCTGCATTGTTTACTTAGCTCTGGAAATGTATTTGTGCAAAACTCTAAAATGCATTTGGGAGGAATCATTCACTCTTTGTAAAGCCTTGTTGACACTGGGGGGTGGGGGGGCTCTCAAAAGCAGGGGAAGTGTCATAACAACATCATACATCACTGCATCAATTGGAATAAGAGGATATGATGTGCATTACTTGTAACAAACCAGTGTATTGGTCCGGGAGCCGCTCTGCCTCCCCGGCGTTCCTGCATCAACCTGCTTTGTTGGCCACGACAGAGGGTGGGAGGAGGTATGTGATTTAGTGCGGTTGGTCCTAACGACCTCTCCGTCCTTGTGACGAGGACACACAGCCTCAGGGCTCTGGCATGGAGGATGAGCCTTGGACCGCCTGGCACCTCGCCTGGCACCATGCGTGGCGACACGTCCACAGTCTGCCACCCTTCTGATGGATTGGCCTGTCTTTGGTGCCACCTTCATGAAATCACTTTTTGATTTGTTGTCATGTTTTTCTCCCTTTTTCCCCCGATCTTCTCCGGTTTTTTCACGGGTAAGAACACCCTCTGGTCAGGTATTACAAGAGTGATTAAATTAACCTTCAATAAATCAGCATAATAGAACATTACCTGTGAGTGTGTGTGCGTGCCAGCCTGATGATACGAAGGTGTGTTGTCAAGGGGTCAACATCAAATGTCCATCCACAACTACTACAGGAAACGCAGTTG